TATATATAAACATACATACATATCTAGAAATGATTCATCCTTAGATGACTATTAGGCAGGTGAGTCTCTGTGTCCCAGTTCATTCTTATTAAGTAAATCTGTGAAGCTCCATTAGATCTGATGGTCCTCTGGAACCTTGGCTTTGGTTCACTTCACAGACTGGTTGTGGTTTGTGCAGGTTTGTGCAGGTCTGTAACAGCAATTTTCTCTGCCAGAGTTATTTTCTGGTTTTGCGGAATGTTTGGTGTTGCCATCATGATGGACAAAACATACAACAACTCCTTCACAGAATATTCTACTTCTACAAGGCTCTGTGTTGTAGATGTACTTCAAATCCCTACAACATTATATCAACTCAGTGTGCCAGTGTAACACAGTGTTCTTGGGGCCTGTGATCTCCAAGACCACACAGCACTCTGGCACTGTTAGGGCCAGAGTCAGATATTAATACATTGCATGGCTTTGTGTGTAGAGAAGGTGATGTAATGATTATAGTATGATTAAAATGACCCTGAAAACTTCCCCTACTTAAAACACAAATCATATACTGCAGGTTCCTTACCACAGAATGAGACAATGTGGCTGCTGTCTTCATGTACAAATTTCCTGGTGACGGCTTCCTCCATGATCTGTTTCACCTGTCAACAAAAGAACAGATGCTGGGTGACTCATTCATTAATATGCAATGCTGTCTTTTTTGTATTTTTTCCCTGTCTCTTCTTCTCCCACACAATGACAAGTCTGAAGTTGACTGACTGATGCATGTACTTCAGAGGACAATTCTGTTTATTTATACAGGAAATGCACACCTGTGCAAAGAGGGTGGGGGTGGATGGAGGTTAAAAAGTTAAGAGGGAGGAGTGGGAAGAAAATCTATTCCCTCTAAATACTTCAGTGACTGTGACGAGCCACTGGCCAAATGATATTAGCTTTTACAATTTCATATTTACAGCAACCTCATCAAATTTTACAGGAGATGGAGTTCTCGAATTTCATTTCAAACCACCGTAGCTCTTTTTTATGAACCAATAATGTGGATAACTGGTGGACGAAATGCACCGCTTCAAAAACACACATTAGCACTGCAATGTATCTTTAACAGTGGTATCACATTATCCTGACTGTTATGAAGAAATAAAGCTGTAACTGAATATTGATGAGCTTTCTTTGTCTTAGGCGGTGTTGATAAATGTCCTATTTTAAACACCATGTTATCTCTTTAGTCTAGAAACACACACGAGATCCACAAAAATGGGTGACTCTAACCTGCTCTGTTTTTTTGACAACCTGACAACTGATTGTTTTGCCAACTTGAAGCAGCATCATTTCATCTCTTATCTGTGCTATAGATCAGGCCTCTGAGGAATTTTCATACTGAAGTGTCACAACCTGCAGGTTTCTATGGAGACAGCACATGTGGCACAGCAGATCACTTCTGCTTAAGAGGCTGCGTCAATAATAATCATTCATTCAATTCTAGAACACACAAAAAACAACTGCAGCTCTTTAACTAAGTTATACTATCCTGTATGTAAAAAGGCTGTACGGTCTCATAAAGGCCCTGCATATTAAGATGAATTTACAGATGCGATCTACACAACAACAGTCATTAAATATCTGTTGTGCAACAGCAAGGCTATGATAATCTCTTCTTTCCACTGCAGAATGACACCATCGGCCAGAGTGATAAAGGATGTCTAGAACAATTCCAATTAGGCCTGAAACAGCAGAGGCAAGAAACAAGAAGAGAGGGAAAACCGCATCCATTAACTTTCAACTCTTCATTATTTATCATCTCTGTGGACACCATGAAAGAAGGGACAGAGACGGTGAAGATAATGCAAGAAAAGTCTTTGCTGTTATTCACAGTAATTCCTGCACATGCACATGACATTGCTTAAATGATAATATAAACACTGAGGAGCAACAATTAAAAGGCAAAACACAGAATCAATGTCAACGAATTGTACAGGTAGAAAGAATTGCATACATTCTGCGGTACTTTTTGGAGCCTGTGTTAATATCACATTATCTCATTATCTCGTTTGTCATGGAAACAAACACCTATCTCTACACACCAGTCTACATTTACATTTACATTACCCAGACAGAACCAGACTGGAGGATTTCTCACACGTCTACTGCCTTAAACCTTGTTTAGATGCCTGTTCCTCATAGGCTGTGTTTTCCAGTAGCCTCTCGCTCTCCCTTGGCAAACACAGATGTGTATTTGCCTTTGTGTGCACAAGTGATTGAAAAAAAAAAGGGACATAGGGAGGAGCAAAATCAGAGTGAGCTAGAGATACAGAGGGACGTAGACAGAGACGGGTTCTATAAGGCACAAAATAGATCTGATTTGAACCAACTTTGTACCAGGAGGTAACGGTTGTGCTGCTCTCACCAGATAATCACCGACATACAGGTGCATGTTACCACAGGGACAATGGAGAATGTGCAGAAACAAAGCGTAAAAGGGATGTGGCTGTAGGAATGATCACTGTCATTAACTGGTATAAAAAACTTCTCTGGATAAATGTGGATTTTAATAGTACAAGTAACACCTGTGAATTAACAGATAATAATCTGGACTCCTCAGGGTCCATCAGCGTGAATATGTGATACACAAATGGACCATGGGCCATCTCTATGAGCTCACAGGAAGCAGGTCTAATCAAGAGAAGGGTCTGGTCCAGACTGATAAGGCTGCAAACAGGACCTATTGTAAAACAAATCCAAACAAAAGTCTCTGCAGTCCTTTTTATCAGAGGCTTGCTTTTATTTTTATCTTGTCTTAGACTTGTGATGAATGAGGCAATCAGAGATTAAACTAATAAAAAAAAGTTTTTCCAGGTAGAGCTCTTTTATTTTATTTTTTTCTGCACCATTAAAACTACAATCAATGTTTCTCCTTCAGCTGAGCTTTTAACCAAAAGTCAACAGAAACACAAGAGGTCAGCTCATGTTGAAAAAGCTCCCTGAGTAGGAAAGCACTCAGTCGAGTCTTTGAAATTTATTTCAGTGTTGCAGAACGAATCACGGAACAATACTGAAGAAATAAAAATTATTTATTAACTGTTTCTGGCAATAGATGGAGAACAGGTGAATTAATGAAAACATGCTCACCTGAAAATATCCATTGTTTTCTTCCTCATCACTTTAGAATGTCTCTTTCATTAGTACAAAATCAGGGTAAGTCAAAAGATTCTAAGACAGATGTTCTTATTTTAGTGTGTGTGTTCAACAACTCACGTGTCGTGCCTGTCTGATTTCCCGCCTCCTGACTCTCCTCTGGATGAATCACTGTTTCACCATCACCTGCTGTTGGATCATTGTTGTTCTTGTGGTTCCTATATGATTGTATTCTCCATGTTCTTTGCTGTGTTCGTTGAGATGAGACTCAGCTTACGTTGGATCTATTGCCTGATTTAAGTTGTGGACTTATTTAAATAACCTCCTGCTCCTGAACTCTGTCTTGGTATTACTCTGACAGTTGGCCCTCAGGCGCCCCCAACAGCTGTGACATCTCATCATAATGTCTTTGTCAATGGGCTGTGTTGTATTTTAAATTTTTAAGTGTTAACATCTAATTGTATACTGAATAGAAATGGATTTGACATGAATTAAATTTGATTTTCCAAGAGGTTTGGACTGAGTTATTTTTTTTAAATTATTTTTCAAAAGTCCAAAGAGGAACTGAATTATCTCTATTAGACGAGTCCAAGAAGCAGCTTGTGACCTGAGGACATCCCACAATCCCATCTCATGGAAACACAACTCACACTCTATATATAGTATAGTAGAGGATATATAGTATAAGTAGCAATATCTATCTTCCTTTCATGAGCACCTTTTTTGTTATTCATCCTAAAACGTTTTGACTAACAATAACAACAGGTGCATTTCTGCAGTATTTACATACATACAGTACAAAGTTGAATTCGTTACCCAGGGAAACTGGGAGAAAATTGTTCATCGATGTTATCACGTGAGGAAAAATGATCGTAATCGAATTAATGTCACTGTAGTTCGTCATTTGGAACCAGTTATAGAGATCCAAGGGAAACTGGATACATGAGGGATGAAGAAAAAAAACAATCACTCTCTCATGGTTTTTCCTCCTCTTACCTTGATGTTACTCCTGAATCTGTCAGTTTTGTATTCAGGTCAAGTGAATGTAATTTCTATACAGTTCCACCTCAGATTATCCATATAGTAAACGGAGATGTTCTGTTGGTAGTTTTCATATGAAACATCCCCTTTCCTCTGGGGATGGAGATGACTGACATATAACATGATCCACTCAAATGGTGTGTAACTCATAATATACACACACCAAGACTTATGACTCTGCCTTCATTTCCATTTATTCCTTTGTGTGCGTGATAACGAAGCCGCAAAATAATGCAATCAATCTGTGCCTGTGACTACACAATATCTCACTGGCCCACAAGAAGTTAGTTGTCTATTTCCTTATTCTCCAACCATTACTGGCCCATCCTACTGGAACTACAATTCATATTTTCACCCCAATTTTATACCATAAACATGATGTCTTATTAGGTCCAAGAAGACTGGTCTTTAACAGATGGCTTAGTATTTTCTGAAAAAATAATATTATGAGCCATATAAACATATTTTAAACAATACCCATAATGTAACATATGAAAAGAACAAGAAGCCACAGAAGGTCAGACCCTCATATAATCTTAATGCTTACCTGATTTTAATTCCTACCCCGTACCCATTACCACAATTTAACCCTAAAAAGCTACATCACATTGAATAAAAGTAGCCTCAACATTCTGTCTGTGGCCAGGATTGGTCGTCACAGCTACATACATTTGACGTGTCTCACAGAAACCACTGACCAAAGAACTGGCAAAGATCCACCCTGCTCCTCTACCCGAATATTAACAGAAGCAGCATAGATATAGCGTCCACGACAATGACTAAGTAAATAAATATAAACCACTATACGAACAATAATTACTACATATACGGAAGTTTTACCACTATTTGATTCCATGTACAGTGTGTATTAAAGGTTTGGTGTTTTTCCCGCCTGTCTGGCAAACGTGTCTCTACATTAGGGACCATCTGAAAGTAGAACCTCTGTCTAAAGTGGTTGGTTCAACGCAGAGTGTTTGTTCTTCCAACTGAATAACACCCACCTCCTTTTTGACGGTGCGCACCAGCTTCTGACGGATCTCTGCCTCTGAAAACACACACGCACAACACAGTTAGTTGACTAAGGGGGCATTTCATTACACAAAATGTGCCCGAAACATGAGACAAATGGAACATAGTAATATAATAGTGCGTTCTCACCTGCCATGATTGTTGCCATGGATCCGTTTCTCCAACCTGCAGCCTCCCATCAGCTGAGAGAAGCCGGTAAACACAACTGTGGCTCACGGCTGTACCTCCCCTTTACACACGCCTCTTAAAGACACACGCGCGCGCGCGTGTTAGCAAAATAATGTACAATAGCCATGCCTACTACTAATATATTATTATCAAACTCGTATGATAAGAATTCATACAGTTCAACGACAAAGATGTGACTTTGAAAAAACTGTTTTAGCTTAATGAAACGGTGCAGTGTGTAACATTTATCAGCATCTAGTGGTGAAGTTATAAACCCCATCTCCGGAGAAGACCGTTCCCCTTCCAAATTAACTGCCATTTTCTAATGTTTGAGTTACAACTCTGTTTAACGACTGTGTCTAAACCAGTAGTTATGGCAGAGCTCACGGTCTACATCCAATTTTACAACATGTAAAACAATCTAAAATGTCATTTTAAACAATGCCACTCTTCCATGCCGCTCCAATGAAGTTTTATCCATGTATGTAGAGTATTTTGACCACTAGGTGTCAATAATGCATCGTAAAACATTGTCAGGATGGCGCCTTTTACTAAAAGACTCCAGATCAGTCTTTGTCAATTACAGTCGTAATAAAAAATAAATCGTTTTTAAAGAATGGAGAGTAACGACACAGAATCAAGGGGAACGGTCTTCTCCGGAGATGGGGTCTTTTAGTAAAGGCGCCATCCTGACAATGTTTTACGATGCATTATTGACACCTAGTGGTCAAAATACTCTACATACATGGATAAAACTTCATTGGAGCGGCATGGAAGAGTGGCATTGTTTAAAATGACATTTTAGATTGTAAATTTGGATGTAGACCGTGATCTCTGCCATAACTACTGGTTTAGACACAGTCGTTAAACAGAGTTGTAACTCAAACATTAGAAAATGGCAGTTAATTGCGTAACTGTTCTTCCGGATCAGTTATACTTACAGTGTTGTTGAATTGTGTGCAATTACGATGGTAAGAATGGCGTCTGCTACTATACGTTCCAGTACTTGACGGCAGTATTATTTTTCTTATTACTTGGGAAGTGTGTATCAAACTGTGTAAAGCATTTGGAAGTGAAATGAGTTTTTAATTTTACATTTAGATACTAGTATCCACTGAAAAGACTACAATAATCATTCTTTATTAACCATATAAGGAGTCCCCCTGTTCAAATGAGGGTCATAGCCTCATTTCACTTATCCAGTAGAGGGCGACTGAACCATGGCAATGAACAACTACAGTATGATTATACGGCAAATTGTTTACATCTCGGTGTAGCGAGTGAGCTTGGTCACAAAAATCAGCATCAACGTCAACAGATTAAGCTGAAAAAAGTTTCCTGGCACTACAGTTTTGGTCCATCTCTGCCCGGAGGCCAGAGCTGTCAGGTGGATCAGGTGGTGAGATGTTGGAGTGATAATGTAAGATGACAGGCTGAGAGGAGCACAGCTCCATAAAGCTTCAGCACTGACAACGTCCTCAGGTGTTTTACTAAATAAATGTATTAAATCTGATCAATGATAAACACACATCATTGTAATCTGTATTTACTGGCCTGTACAAACTGTCAGTTGTGGTTTGAGGATCAGTAGAATGTTTTGAACTTTAAGGATTTTGCTGTGGCATCTCTCTGTGTTGGTTTTATATTCACTACATGTTTTTTCTTTCTATAGATTCTCCTTTAACGCCAGGATTCCCCTCACTGTGTTGACTTACAATTTCTGCCTATAGATTTCCTTGATGTAATAATACCTCTGTTTTTAAATACCATACTAGGACCTAAGTAGAACAGCAAAGGCCCTCACTATGTTAATGTCATGTGGTTTTAAAACATGCCATTGTGTTGTGTATTCAACAGCAGCTATATATATATGTATCTATGTATATATATATATATATATATATATATATATATATATATATATATATATATATATATATATATATATATATATATATATATATATACATGTAAGTATATATATATATATATACATGTAAGTATATATACACACACACATATACAGCATGTGTCTGTCAGCAGTAGTCTCTGGGCAATAGAGCCCACATGCACGTCTGTGTGTGATTAGACTCGACGTGCTCAATCAGGCACCAGGGAATGTGGACGAGGCTCCTGTCAGTCTGATGTTCTTTTGCTTCGTGTTCCAATGCAGTCTGACAGGAGTGTGTTTTTATGTTGTCATGCTATTGGCGCCTGTGGGCCCCCTGGCCCTTGGCTGAGCAACTGCATCCTTTTTCCTGACACCATTGTTTGTAAGGCATTAGCTGTGCCAATTACAAGACCTGCTATCACTGAATTCTAATAAAACCAGGGAAATATATTTGGATTTTTAATGTTAATGCAGATTTATCTACATATACATTGGAAAATATTTTCAGTGAACAGCGCGTGGATTAAAAAAGTAGCATTTCTCAGCTTTCCCAGAGGCAGTTGGGCTGATATGTGACAATTTTTGTGATGGTGCTTCATGTGTTGTCCTATCTTAGTGTCATATCGATTTCCCAGAGTAACTTCATTTAATGCACTCTCCTCACCCCTGTATCATTGTGACCGCTGCTCTCGAAATATTCACTTAGCATTATTTTTCAAATTGCAATGCACTAAAAGCCACGGATTTGATTACAAAGTCGTTTTATTGGGTTTTCCTAACGAGTGCAGTTTAGCTGCCGTGACTCTCGTCTGCAGTCTTCACCAAACTATATTAGAACAAAGATTCAGGAAGTCAAGATGACTTCAGGGTGCTATTTATATCTGTCTTTATCAACTTCTGAGAATTGGAAAAAAAAGTAATGACTGTAACTGTAATGAAATAAAAAAAACTAGTAATAAGGATTATGCTACAATTTATTTACTATTATTTATTTATTCATTCATAAAATCCCTAGATAAATTAAGGAAATTTCCACCTGTTGCTCTGTTGTGCAATCATCAAGCTGATGATGACCACACTGAGTCTGATCTTCCTCCCTAAAAAGTTAATCTGTTGGAACATTAAAGTGGAGAGTGTTATCAAAGTAGCAACGTAAGACCTGGAGGAACCCTCTGTGATGTGTGTCTGGTGACAGGTTTCTCCTCCCACTCTCATTGCCATCTCTACGGTGGAACACCCTCATCTCCACCTCCTTCTCCACCTGCTCCTGTGAGGAGCTACTGTTCTCTCTGACTTTTATCACTCCCGTGGCCCAGCAGGAGCCAGCCGTTATGGCCGGCAGTTTGACGCAGCACTGCTCTCAGACCCCGGACTACAGCTCCAGTAACTCAGTCCCGGTGCCGGTCCTGACTCAGAACAACTCTAGGGACAAATGGAGCAAAAAGATGGATTTCCTCCTCTCTGTTGTTGGTTTTGCAGTGGACCTGGGAAATGTTTGGAGATTTCCTTACGTATGCTATCAGAATGGAGGCGGTAAGTAGGCTGGTTAAACGCTTAATTGGCAGCTATTAATTAGCAGTTTTATTAATTTGGGTCTGAATCTGTTTAGCAAACACAAACATTGAACATTTTTTGTTGTTGTCGTTTTCTTACTTAGTATTATAATTATTAAAATGTGTAACTGTCCATGGTGCTGACATGGACATCTGGGATCATTGATGTCAGACTTATGTGTCATACAGAATAATACATCGACTTGGAAGGTTACTGATTATACCAAGTTAAAACCTCATATCAGGTTAAAACGTGTTTTAATGAATTCTATACTTTTAAAAGTATAAAAATAACATTTAAAATTAGGGTTTGAGTTTTGTTAGCAAAAATAACTTTTTGAACATTTTCAGTTCTCTGTGTTAAATTAAATCCAAAAGAATATATACTAAAAAGTTTTGTCCTTTTATCTCTATTAAATTCTAATCTAAACTACTATGTTAATATTGAGTATTCAAATACAGCCATGGAGATATTTGATCAAAATGTCACACTTAATTATAGATTAAATAATGTTGAGTTTGCAGTTGGCTCAGTATTGTGTTGCATATTCCTGTTCAGGTGCTTTCCTCATCCCCTACATCCTCATGGCGATTTTTGGTGGTGTGCCACTCTTTTACATGGAGTTGGCTTTAGGACAGTTCCACAGAACTGGGGCAATTTCCATATGGAAGCACATCTGTCCTATCTTCAAAGGTATTGCATTGATCTATAAATCCCAGCAAACACATAGGTGTAGGTGTAAAAGTAATTTATCTAAATGATGTACCGGTGTGTGTTCTTTCAGGTATAGGATACGCCATTTGTATCATTGCTCTGTATGTGTCTTTCTACTACAACACCATCATTGCCTGGGCCCTCTTCTACTTCTACTCCTCATTTACCAGTATCTTGCCTTGGACAAACTGTGACAATGTGTGGAATACACCGGACTGCACCAACTATTTCGGTATGGACAACGTCACCTGGACCAATACCTCCAGGTCTCCAGCAGAGGAATTTTACTTGTAAGTGCATGTAAGTGTGAGTAACATGAATGTTATTATCTACATCAGCTGATACCAGTTGGTGGTTTTGTGGGTAAATGCACCCTCAGTTACTGGAGACTAGATGTTATGTGATTTATCCCAACAGGAGGAATGTTCTTGAGATTCACAAGTCATCAGGGCTGAGAAATGTTGGAGGTGTGCGCTGGCAGCTGATGCTTTGCCTTTTTCTCATTTTTACTATCGTATACTTCAGTCTTTGGAAGGGAGTGAAGACGTCAGGAAAGGTAAGGAATAAAAGTTGCTGTAAATCTGCCAAACATAAACTTAAAAAAGAGATTTTTATTTTTTCGTACCCTAGGTTGTGTGGGTGACGGCTACCTTACCCTATATTGTACTGTTCATCCTCCTTATTCGAGGAGCAACTTTACCAGGAGCCTGGAGAGGTGTGGTGTTTTACCTGAAACCTCAGTGGGAAAAATTGTTGGAAACCAGTGTAAGTTACAAACATCATCTAATTATTGGTTTAGAAAAAATATAAACTATATAAATTAAAATTAAGAACATTAAGGACACAGACTTGCTCTAAATACATTTTTTAAAATAGGAAAAAAATGTCTTTGACATATAGCTGTCACTATTTTTTAACACAGATTTGACTTTTGATACATTTTCTCAGAAATATCTGCAATAATTCTTTAGAGTTAAATGTGAAAATTGAATTGTATTAAATGTTGTATAATATGATCCATTTAATGATGTTACATTTTCACATCTTTATTTTCTAGGATTCATTTTTTTATATTAAAATGACAATTGAAATAATTTATCATGCAGTGTTTTTTATACCTCCTCCATTCCTTTCAGAATTTACTTATATTTAGTTTGTTTTTGATCTATCAAATGGCCTAATCTCCCTTCTTCCCCTGCTACACATTTAAGTTGGAAGAGAATATGGATGAGATGAAATGAGATGCATAAATAAGGCACAGAGCAGCATAATGAGTTGCATAAATGGTTTAGATTTTCTGCCCATTAACAAAGGCCCTCCATTCACTCACCAATGTCCAGCGCTGGTTCTTTCTTTTGAATGCCAAGTGTGCGCTGCTCTTCAGATCTCCCCGTGTACAGCTGTGCAGCAACTGCTGCTCAAACAGCACCTCTGCGTTGGTTGTGAAAAATGCAAAAAGGTGATGTTGAGTCGCTTAGTGAAAATATAGGCTATAACTGTAAATCTTCCACATTTCTTTACACATTTTCACATGAGATGCATATTTATAGCTACAGAGAATGATTAATCTCCTGCATGGTGTCTTTTCCAGGTGTGGGTCGATGCTGCGGCTCAGATTTTCTTCTCTCTTGGACCAGGGTTTGGCGTCCTCCTGGCTCTCTCAAGTTACAACCCTTTCACCAATAATTGCTATCGGTAAAGGAGAATATAGAAAATGAAATAAACAATTCTTAAGAATTTAAAAAGTATTCTCTTACAGCGTGAACCAAAAAATATAATCAATATCTGTCCCTAATGTTTTTTCGCAGAATAAAATAATATTATATTTTACCTCAAATATACCCATTAATATACGTTTGCCTGTCATTAATAGCTTTGTGTTTTATTTGCTTAACTAAGAGAGTAAGTAAATAAAAAGGTCATTGAGCACTTTATAAATATAAGTAATAATTTGTGCGTAGTACTCACCACTGGCAGCAGTACTGTGCATGTGGTTAAACTATTATTATTTCTTCCAGTGATGCTATCGTGACAAGTTTGGTGAACTGTCTGACCAGCTTTGTGTCAGGCTTCGTCATCTTCACTGTGCTGGGCTACATGGCAGAGATGAGGAAGGTGGAGGTGCAGGACGTGGCCAAAGATAAAGGTCAGTAAGGAAAGAAAAAAAAAGAAGAAGAAAAAAAAAGATTAATCCGTTGTCACCTTGTTATGTTTCCACAGGACCAAGTTTACTGTTTATCACGTACCCTGAGGCCATTGCGAACATGATGGGCTCCACCTTCTTTGCCATCATCTTCTTTGTCATGATGATCACACTGGGACTGGACAGCACTGTATGAACTGTAACACACAGATTCTCCACACGTGTCATTAAATGTCATTTGACTTTCATCACTCTAAACATGCTTTTAATTTTCATCTCTTGATTGATCAGTAGTACTAACAACATTATAGATAAAATGTCTACTTTATAGAATTACTTTGCAGTGCAGTATACACTGTGTTTGAAATGAATAATTCAACTGTCTGTATCTTTCCAGTTTGGTGGACTGGAGGCCATTATCACTGCTGTACTGGACGAATATCCTGACCGCTTCTCCCACAGACGTGAGCACTTTGTGCTCTGTCTAGTTATAGTCTGCTTTTTGGGCTCTCTGAGCACCCTTACAAATGTAAGTTAAGTGTTATATCAATTTAAACCGATGATTTCCTGGTGATATCTGACCACTAATCCATACCATGGTGACATGGAGGCATCATGCATCATCTTTGCTACACAATGTGGCTGTGAAACAAACTGATATCACTGAAATGACCTACCATTCCCTGATTTGTTAACTAATATAAACAAAACTAAAAAATAAGAGGTGGTACAATGCTAGTGATGCATTTGCTGTCCTAGGTAAAATTATTAATTGCAGCAGTCTACTGCTAAATCCAAGTCCAATTAAATCGAACAAAACATTTGTTTTGTAACATTTACAAAATAGTCAAAAATAATGATTATGTAATTCAGAGTAAATTGTTGTTGACAGGGTGGAGCTTATGTGGTCAAGCTGCTGGAGGAATTTGGGGTTGGATGTTCTATTATTGCAGTAGGATTCCTGGAGGCCATCGCAGTTTCTTGGTTTTATGGTAAATAAAAAAATCCATTGTCATTTAAAAAGAAATATTGACCTGAAAAAAACCCTAGTGTTGAATGGCCTTTTTTTTCAGGCATCAACCGATTTAGCAGCGATGTTCAGGCCATGTTGGGCAAAGCTCCTGGGTTGTTCTGGAGGGTTTGCTGGGTTGCCATTAGCCCAGCATTTCTGGCGGTAAGAAACATTGCTATATGGTATAAACTACAAATAATGTGGTTGTCTACAATTCTAGAATTTTCTTTTCTATTTGTGATTAAACCAAATATTTGAGTGATTTACACATCACACTGTGATATGAATAGAAGTTTGCCTACAAATGGATGGTTGTTATACTGTACATGTGTTATACGGTTTTATATAGTAAATTCAGCAACTCTTAAAAGCCAAAACTAACATGATGTCCCCTTTCCTCTTAACAAAGACCTCTAACTTTATATAAAAAAAATCTCAATATATATTAAGTAAATGTGACATCAACTGTACACCACCAACTATATCATAATTTATTCCACATTGTGTGTGTAAAGCCAAGGTACCACCAAATGTATGTGAATCTACATTTATATGTCTTTCTCAGTATATCATAGTCAGCTCCCTGCTGAAGGCTCCGCAACTCACACTGTTTGACTACAAGTACCCAGACTGGAGCATTACAGTGGGGTACTTCATTGGGTTGTCCTCCTTTATGTGGATCCCCATCTACATGGTGTACAAGCTGGTGTGGACTCCCGGGTCACTAAAACAGGTCAGCACATGAACATGAAGAAATACTGTATGCAGTGACTAAATATGATAACGCAAAACCAATTCAGCAATTCAGTAATTAAGTCTCAAAGCCAGAAACATTAAAAATATATGTTTTTTATATCTTTTTTTATTTCATTAATCATTTCAGTGATTGACTTCTGTTATTCTTCCAGAGGTTGGCAGTGTGTCTGAGACCGGAGAGGACCATACCTGACATCCACACTGACAGCCTGAACATGGATACTGTACACTTGTAGATGCAAGATGATCAAGGCTGATTTTCTGACATCATGATTTGATCTAGTGATGTTATGAAATGTGTAAACTCTATTTGTATCTGATTTTCCTACAAACACCACTATCATAGTCCACCCGTCCATCATCCATTCATTTTATTTTGTGTAATCACTTTCAAGGTTGTGGGGGGCTGGAGCCAATCCCAGCAGTCAATGGGAACATTATGGACAGTCTGCCAGACCACTGCAGATCATGGTCTGTTTCTAGTTTGTTTTCAATTTGTAACATTACAGTTGTTGGTGTTGTAGTAAAAAAAAATTAAGTCCATCTATTCTCACAGCTTTGAACAGCTTTGAGTATCTCACATGAACAAGATGCCAAGGAAATGTGTTTTTGCACATAACTACATGTAAAGGTTTTCATTTTTTCGTTATAAAATGTAACTTGTAGCACAAAATGAGAGACATCTGTTAACAGTCTCTGTTGTTAAAATAATTTATTCCATCTTCATTCATGTATTTACAAATTTTATATTAGTTCTACACAAAATATATGTATTGCTAGGGTCTGTATGTATCTGAAAAAACAGAGGTAGAGTATTCAGCAATTTCTAATTATGTTGGTAAACACGGGGTATTTAGTATTTATTTCAGCCCTTCACAAGCTGCAGTGGTCCATATTTTGACAGTGCCTGTATATCATTATTATTTTATTAAACTCCCATGCTAAAAAACATTCTGCTTTGGACACTAGCAAATTGCTACTATTTAAAATGCATGTATTTTGTGATAACAAAAGCCTTCTATTTCCATATATACCAATTACATATATAACCAAGAGAAAGTCTCCTTCTCTGAGCTGATCCCTCCTTCTCACTCCCGCCTCTCACTTCTTCTTCTTTGTAATTAAACAGTAGTTGCCGTCCTTTTAGGTTTAAGGTTACTGTCATTAACTGCATGTTGGATCATAACCATATTATATAACATCAGCACTGTTGTGTGCCCATAAACACACCACTACACTGAGGACCAATGATTCAGTGGATTACTTAAGTATAAAACTGTTTTTGTATTAGATTTGTTAATTATATTGCTGCAGTCCTTGTCTTTAGTGCCACTGACACAAAATACATTTTTCACTTTTGGTGACATTTATGATGACTCTTATTTAATGTACTATTTCCCCTCTCACCAGAAAGTTCCAATGTCATCCGGACTACAGACAGCCAGTTCAGCCTTAATTTGCTAAAACTAAAATTATACACACATTCTTTATGTTATATTGACACATATATATATTAATATTGTGCCTCTCGAGATGTTTCCCTCACACCTACTAAAGACTGAGCAAATGTTAACTGAGACAGAGTATATAATTTAACTTGTGTAATAAAGCGTAATACTTTAGTATCAGACCAGGTCAATGATGGTTGTTTGATTTTTTGATTTTTTACATTGTGAATGTGGTCATATGTATACTGTACAAGTTCATAACAGTAAATTATTCATTTCATATGAATGCCTTTGTGGATTGAATCTTTGTTTATTTTGAAGGTTGTTGGCTGCTGCCCACCTGGGTTACGGTCCCTAATTAACAAGCTAATTTGCATTTGCCAAACTCCATCAACATCTAGGACTAGTGCAGCCTCCACCTAGAATGCTTATGGTACCTTTAATATAATCACTTTCTGTTCATACATTTCACGTGGGTGTCGACCACTTCATCAGGCATAAACCCATAATAGAGTAGAAAGTGGTTTTGAACATATGATTTTTTTACAGAGCTCCCAGGCTGATAGACATGCAAACAGATCAAAGGCCTTTTGTGTCAGCAACTGCTTTTGAATTAGACACATAAAAGAGACACTGCTTAAACAGATGGTTCCTCCACCACGGCTGGAATCTTTCTGCTGTAGTGAATTCAGGAAATATCCGTGCGTTTACTGAATACATTATCATGTAATACAATATAATAGATGAAGTTATCTGCTGTACCACAGAAAACGTTAAGAATTTATCAGCGAAGGATTCGTTTAGATCTGTTCGTCTTTAGCTAGCCTCTGATTTTGAACTTAATCACTGAAGTAATGATTAGATTAAAATGACTATAAATAATGTAAAAGCCTGTACATTTAATTTATTTTTCCTACCTTAAAGCAGAGGGCATCAAAAAGAGTTCTGTGTCCCTATGGCCTGAAACGGTACTGCAGAGAGGATGTGAAATGTTTGGTTAATGGGAAAAGTAATATTATTATTATTTTATAATCTTTAAATACACTCTAACATAAACCCACCAATGAGAGCAAATAGCTAAATGAAGGCAGATGTTATCTTTTAATCAAAGATTTGCAAAACAAAGTTCCAGCATTGTAAACATTTACTCTAACTGCAGTTTTAATAGCAATATTTTACCTCAAAAATCCTAAAATAGGGTTGACCCAACAATAGGGTTGGACCTTTAACCAACATGACCTGAAAATCACTACCAAATTAGTTGGTGCCTTAATCTACTCCTTTACTTCTGTAGGACATTAGTGCTGCATCTCTGCATTAAATCAGGGGTGTCAAACTCACTTTGGTTCAGGGTAGCATACAACCTAATTAGACGTCAGGTGGACTGGACAAGTACAATCATAAGATAAATAACTAAAAATAAAAATGAGTCTGTGTTTTTTCCTTTGTTTTCATGCAAAGAAGTAAATTAGTAATTAGAAGTATGTATCATTATTTATTTATATTTAATTAAATCTAATTTCATAACAAATATCCTGAAAATTAAGTTTGTGTTTTTTTTCTTATTTTCAAAATTCATTAAGCGGGCCGAATTGAACACCCTAATGGTCCAGTTTTGGCCAGCGGGCCGAACGTTTGACACTCCTGAGTTAAGGGGTCATTGCTCTGGAAATTATTGAGGATCCCTGTCTTACAGTAGATTATAGTAGAACATATACATGGAATTATTTAATACCACAACAAGCTAAATAAGCCTCCAGAATGCCTCAATTATGGTGTTCATAATAAATATGAATAAATATGAATATGTTTATAATTAAAGACTGATTTTATAGTGCTTCTCTACACTTTGCTCACAAGGACAAGATTCTAGAAATATTAAAAGGTTTAATTAATCTTAAATGATTGAATGCCCTTGTGATGCCTTAATCTCAAAGCTCCCAGTTCCATTTGCTGCCACTCTTTGATTCTTAGGCCTGTAATTATCTTTAAGTGTTTTAATGATGCAGAGTTCTCTGTGTGGTATGATGGTAAATGCCATGTACATCAGTCATGCGGAGTGATTGTATAAGGATATAACCCCAAGCAGGTTGACCTTTATGGCTGTTCCTTATTGCTCTTTGACATTTTCAAAATTGAAAATGGGATGGAATCCTCTCACTGCTATTTGATGGTTACCAGTAAAGAATAGGATTTCATAGATTTGTAATTCCACAGCTAATCTACCTTGATGCTGGCATTATTGGGAAGATTAATCCATAGTAGGAAAAAGGGAAAATAAGTCAACCTCTGATGTCTTGGCAGTTATTATTAGAGTTCCCAGGCTAAGACGTACAGTGGGTACGGAAAGTATTCAGACCCCTTTAAATTTGTCACTCTTTGTTTCATTGCAGTCATTTGCTAAAAAGTTCATTTTATTTCTCATTAATGTACACTCAGCACCCCATCTTGACAGAAAAAAACAGAAATGTAGATTTTTTTGCAAATGTATTAAAAAAGAAAAACTGAAATATCACATGGTCATAAGTATTCAGACCCTTTGCTGTGACACTCATATTTAACTCACATGCTGTCCATTTCTTCTGATCCTCCTTGAGATGGTTCTACTCCCTCATTGGAGTCCAGCTGTGTTTAAACTGATTGGACTTGATTAGGAAAGGCACACACCTGTCTATATAAGACCTTACAGCTCACTGTGCATGTCAGAGCAAATGAGAATCATGAGGTCTAAGGAACTGACTCAAGGAGCTTAGAGACAGAATTGTGGCAAGGCACTGATCTGGCCAAGGTTACAAAGAATTTCTGCATCACTCAAGGTTCCTAAGAGCACAGACAGACCTTATAATCCTTAAATGAAAGATGTTTGGGAGGACCAGTACCCTTCCTAGAGCTGGCCGTCCGGCCAAACTGAGCAATCGGGGGAGAAGAGCCTTGGTGGGAGAGGTAAAGAAGAACCCAAAGATCACTGTGGCTGAGCTCCAGAGATGCAGTGGGGAGATGGGAGAAAGTTCCACAAAGTCAACTATGACTGCAGCCCTCCCCCAGTCGGGGCTTTATGGCAGAGTGGCCCGACGGAAGCCTCTCCTCAGTGCAAGACACATGAAAGCCCGCGTAGAGTTTGCCAAAAAACACATGAAGGACTCCCAGACTATGGGAAATAGGATTCTCTGGTCTGATGAGACGAAGATTGAACTTTTTGGCAATAATTCTAAGCGGTATGTGTGGATAAAACCAGGCACTGCTCATCACCTGTCCAATACAGTCCCAACAGTGAAACATGGTGGTGGCAGCATCATGCTATGGGGGTGTTTTTCAGCTGCAGG